CAGAATGAAATGTCTGAATGAGTGCTCATCCAAGACTGGTGATTCCATACTTTTTGCCAGGGGTTGTATGTACGTACAGCATTTTCAAATATAACATACCTTCTTTATTAAACTCTGATAATCTAGTTTTTAATTAAGTTTTTGAATCAAAGTTTTATATAGGGACACAATCCCAATCTTCCTTTCAGGCCTCCAATTTTAATTTCTTTGACCATGTGACCTTCTCTCAGGTAGCTTGTCTGTTTCTCCAGATAAAGTTAATTTAATAAATAGTCTTGATTAAAGTTTTTGGGACTGCAGTGCTATAAGTTGAAATTATTACTTTTTTTTTGTTGACTGACCTTAACAAACTCATGGCTTCAGCTTAGTCAGTTTTACAGACTTTGAGGTTAGATTTGTTGCGGAASTAGCTGAGACTGATCCCCAACAGAGTTTTGGATCAGAGGACAGGATTTTTGGAGTCAACTCTGACTGTTAGTTAAATGATWCTCAAACTGCTGGATGGAGTTTAATGAAACTTTCAGAAAGTTTAGTTGTTCTGTTAAGGGTTGCGCCTCCTCATGATGTCTTCATGAAGATGATCCTTGCTCTGTGCAGGGTCTGTGGCTGCCTGACCCACAACACCTGTCCTCCTATGTTTGTTATGTTCTGTCTTCTTCTGAATGGGTGTTCTGAACTGTAATTTCATTGTGCAATGACAATAAAGGTCTAATCTAATATAATCTAGCTGTCCARATACAGCTGATTAAATAAGAGTCAACCTAATTCAAGGTGGCCACCACCGCCAAATGACTTTAGAAAAAATAAGTTCCAGCAGCTATAATTTAGTCCAGTTCACAAACACTGAGATGTAACAAGTTCTAATGGTCTTATTGGATTTATTTCTTGATTCTTCTTGTTTTCTAATAATTTTCAGGGAAATATGAAAGCCACACCAGAGTCCACACAGGAGAGAAACCCTTCCAGTGTGACATCTGTCTCCAGTACTACTCCACCAAGTCCAACCTGACCGTGCACAAGAAGAAGCACGCCAGCGACGCTCCCCTGCAGAAGAAGGAGCACAAGTGTCCCTTCTGCAACAAACTCCATGCCAGTAAAAAAACTCTGGCCAAGCATGTCAAAAGGTGAGACGGGCACTTGTCTGTCCACTCCGAACATCCGGCTCAGGTCCTGCAGAGGTGAAGGTGGGGTTAGGGGATTCATAATTTAACATCCGTCAACACATCAACAASCATTCTTCAAACAAAATCCTGAGCACAGAACTCAGACCTAAAATAAAGGAAATATTTTGCTCATGTTGTGCAATGGAACGTGTCCTTTTCTGGCGATATATTGATATAAAATGGGTAGGTTTTAAATTTCAGCCTCATTGATTTTCTGACTGTTTGAGATCAAGCAACGTGTGTTTATTTTATGAAAAGTCAAGCCGCACGACGGTGAGCCTCTATAGAAACCCTGCTGCAAACATTTCCAGGGCGTTAAAATATATTTCTTTTATATTATAGTAGCCAAAACCTTTTTTTTTGCTAAAATCATTATTATTTTAGGAAAGTGTCAATATGTACATGTTTAAAATTTTTTTTGACTTTCAAAATGCACTAAAAATGTACCAAAATATAGATTAGAACTCCCCTTCTTGGGGGGTCTGTTCCTTGTAGTATTGGGTGAACACTAAGGAGCTCTTCGGACACGTTGCCAGTCTGTTGTGGGATGTTGCATCCCCTGGCTTGGTCTAGGAGTTTAAAGGGACTAACATAAATCTAGACAATGAAGGAGTTAAAATGGCATTTAAGGTGTTTATTTTCTGCCATGTTTTAAGTTTCTTTTCTATAAAGACTGATTCAAAGACTTCAGGGAGAACACTGGCCAAAATAACAAACAAAACAACCCTGAAAGAAAAGCAAAGTTTAATTTTACCTAACCCCAATGAAAATAAAATATACAAATCTAAATAACCTTACCTAACAAGCACATAWACAGGAGAAAACTGTTAAACAAAAAGGCAGCTCTCCCCTACAAAATRAGTCTGACCAATTTTACATTAGTTTGTAAAATACAAAGAACCATTTAGCTGACACAACAACAAATGGTGTTGATTGACTGGCTTGAGACCCAAGGAGCAGCACCCAATCACAGGGGTGACACAGGAGAGGAGGCGGAGCCTAAAAGAAGACACAAGGCATTACTTCAATGGAAAAAGAAACATCCATACTGGGGATGTAACATGGGACCACTGGTCACACCAGTCAACATGGACCAGTGAGTGGTTTTAAACAATAAAAGGATAACACAAAACTCAGATTATGGATTCTGACTGGACTATTAATCTGATAAAAATAAAAACCTTTTTACTTTTATCTGCAGATAGCTGTCTATCAATTTATGTAAAAAAATAAAATAAAAAAATTGAAATATTTTTTTTATAATTACTGAATTATATAAATTATAAATACTGAAATATATAAATTATAATTACTAAATTATACATTCTCAGACTGTATAAAACTGGATGTTATGGTTACTAGAAGTGGCTGTTGTGGTCTTTTGATCAGTAAAACATGGCAGCAGAAAAGAACATGACCCATCAAAATAGAACTTATTACATTAATGTAACTTGGCATTTTTTTATGGTTGATATCTAATAAGGCTGATTTATTTTATAAAAGAACAAAGTTCAGCCTTACAATGATGTAAGAAGAAAAGTTTTGAACCATTAACAGGACCTGTTAAAAAGATCTTCAGCCATTGTTAACAGAGATTCTGTGGAACCAATGTACAAATACAAGAACATCATCAAAATCTGATTTTGGTCACGTTTGAACTTAGCCTATAGGCTGTCGGCTGGTATGTGTTTTTACATTCAGTACCTTTTTGAATGGACTGAGTTTGGAGAAARAAATGATTGTCTGTTGAAAATTTAATCAGCATTTAAACTCAAAATGAAATAGTCAGTAATGGATGCAAGACTAACGTAACGGTTGATGAAGCTCTCTTTTTATAATTTATCTATTATTTCTATATTTCAGCCAACAATAGTCAAGTTCATGAGACTCATTTCGTGGGCCAGCGAACCGTTACAGAACTTTATGAAACCATTGGTTTCTCATTACAAACCAACATCAGTGTGAAGTTTTATAAAATTATGTTTAGCGCTATAAAAATGGCAGTAATCCACTTTGGTCTTTGCTTTCTTRGGACTAGCCATTAGCTCATTGATCAGAGTTCTGTGCAACAAATACAATTCATAACTTTTCCACAAAACTTTTCAATGGCAAAAAACAAAAAACAAAAACACAGAATCATTTTGTTTTATTTTCATAGATTCTTTTCTTTCTGTAGGTCGTTCCGCAGCTGCAGTTTGGATTCAGCATCAAAAATCTGTTGTCTCTTTCCAGGTTCCATCCAGAACACACCCAAGAATTTTTGGCCGCAAGAAAAAAGAAGAGCGAAGGCTGGAAGTGTGCCGTAAGGACTGGTTCTGGTTCTAGAACAGATCCCACTCGCATTTTAGTGTGTCAGTTCCTGACAGCTGTTTATTGTCAAATAGATTTGTTCAAAGARGTTCAGCCGCAGGCCTCACCTGCAGGAGCACATGATCCTTCACACCCAGGACCGACCTTTTAAATGCTCCTTCTGTGAGGAATGCTTCAGGTCCAGGTTTGCACGGCTCAAACACCAAGAGAAGTATCACTTGGGTAAGTAAAGATCCGTTCATCAAGCCTTCAAATTCTTAATTCCTCAAACCTGCTAAAGACTGAAGACGTTTTATCTCATCTCATGGCAGGTCCGTTCCCCTGTGAAATCTGTGGACGTCAGTTTAATGACACGGGCAACAAAAAGAGGCACATTGAGTGCACACATGGAGGCAAAAGGAAATGGTCCTGCTTTGTTTGTGGGAAATCAGTAAGAGAACGGTACGGTTCATACAGCAGTACTTACCTCATGAGTTCAGTATGACCATTGGTGGGCACTAGTCCCCTAAAATGCAAATGCGCTAATTGRGGACCTAAATTTCTTCTTTGCGCTTTAAGGGTTTTACTAATTTCTACGAATGGTGTGCGGATTTGCGCTTTCTAAATTTAAAATTGAGTAGCACTAATCACAAATAATGTTACAGGTTCGATCGTCAATATTGTCTAAAATAAAGGAAAAGTGCCGTCTGTATCCACTACGCTATGTAGCCACAGATTCAGATTCAGATTTATTTTGATAAATTTACACTACAAGAAAAATAAAACAAAATGAAACAATTCTACAAATACAAACCAATATTTAATATAACAGGGCGGCTGTGGCGGAGTGGTTAGGGGAGTCATCCTGGAACCGGAAGGTCGCTGGTTCGATTCCCCATCAAGCCGTTTCAGTCGTTGTGTCCTTGGGCAAGACACTTCACCCGCCTTYCCTACTGATGGTGGTCAGAGGGTCCGGTGGCACCTGTGTATGGCAGCCCCACCTCTGTCAGTGTGCCCCAGGGCAGCTGTGGCTACAYTGTAGTTTGCCATCATCAGTGTGTGAATGTGAGTGTGAATGGGTGAATGTCTGTAGTGTAAAGTGCTTTGGGGTCCAGAGGGACTTGATAAAGCTTTCTATAAGTTTACCATTACACAAAACCATTTACCATTTCACAAAAAAACGGAGTAGGCTGAAGCCAAGGCTTATACTTGCCTATCCTATTCAATGACTCTCAGTATACTGTCCCTATACATACTCACACACCTTATATATACGTGTGCATACATATACATATGCACATACATATACAT